GGGGTGCAGGGTTGGAGTCCGGGGGGCCAGAGGAAGAGGCGAGTGGTGTGGCCGGAGGCGGGCGCGCACTGGGGTGGGGTCTGGGGTGGGCTAATGGACGTGGGGTGTGGTTAGAGGTGGGCTCACACTGGGGTGGGGTCTGGGGTGGGCTAATGGACGTGGGGTGTGGTCGGAGGTGGGCTCACACTGGAGATGGAGTCTGGGGTTGGGGCAGAGACGGGCTGGTGTTGGGGGTGGAGTCGGGTGGGGGCGTGGCTCGGGGCAGGCCTAGGCTTTAGTTGGCTCTTAGAGTTGGGGTTTGGTCTGTGCCTTGAGTAGAGTTTGAGGCTGGAAGTAGACTGTGAGGTGGGGCTTTGCCTTGGGGAGGAGTTAATGGGTGGAGGTGGGGCCTAGGCTTGGGGCAGAGTCCGCCTGGGAATTCAGCTGAAGGTTGGAGCCGTCTAGGTAGCAGCAAGATACTGCTAGTACAAAGGGTAGTGGCTACCTACTCAGCAGGCAGAGAGGAGGAGCCCCCTCTTTCTTGACTGAGGGAAAGAAAGAGGTCCTGGAAGGGGTGTGTGAGACGAGTGACCATTGGAAAGGGACCTGGCCTGTGTGACCTACCCTGGCTGTCCCCGATTTAGCTTAGCATTAAAAGCAAACTCCCTGGGTTCAAATTCCAGCTCTGCCACTTAACAGCTTGGTCATTCTCACTTTCTTTATCAGTTGAGTAGGGTAATGGTAACTTACCTTATACAATTATTGTTGAGTTATTTATAATGCAATTAGGTTAGTGCAATATAAGTTAACAAGCAAAATGCAAAACCCTTCCCCATCTGCTTCAGCAACCGTTGTCCAGAGTGAAAGGCAGAGAAGGTGGGAGTTCCTCCTCCCCCTTGGACAGGGCCCGGAGTTACCCAGGCTGCAGGGCCCCAGGCAGGGACCTCTTTGCCACTGTCTTCTCCACCCGTGGGAGGAGGACTGCCCAACCTGCAGGTGAAGCCAGGCTGCTTGGGCCTCACCCTCACCCCAGGGCAGGCACAAAGCTGGAGCTATGGGTTTGCATGAGGGGATTAGCCCAGCTGCTGTAGCCTGTCCTGGAACTGAGGTGAGCAGTTTCACTGTCTTTGAGAAAGAAGCTTGGAGAGATCCCTGCCTCTGCCCATTGGAGACAGGAACAGGTGGGGTGAACATGGGTCTGGGGTGTCTTTGAGGAGAGCTCCACATCTGGTAGGTGCCAGCGGTGCACCTAGGTTAGGTCAAAGAATTTCTCTGAGGCAGCAGAGCCCACAGTTAAAGACATGGGATTTGGCATATGAGTTCCAGGGTCACCTCTGCCTCAGTTTCATTACGTGTCAGACGGACATGATGGTAGTCCCCACCTCATAGGGCGGATTGAATGACAGAGTGAATGTAAAGTACCTGGCCCCAGGGTAGGCATCCAGTGTAGATTGGTCTTAAAAAAGCAGGGAAGGGAGACAGGAAAAGAAAGAAAGATGCTGAGAGACCCGAAAAGGAAAGAGACTGAGGTTTTGGAAGGGTTCTCTGTGCACACTTTTGGTCATGACCCAGAATCTTCTGCAGTCCCTACCACAACCACATGAGGCAGAGACTCAACACATATCAGCTGTGTAACTCAGTGGCTTGCCCAAGGCCACCCAGCAAGTTGGTAGCAGAGCCAAGGCCCAAACTACCCTTAGGCACCATGTGTACCTGCCTTTTGTTTTGCATATAGGGAAATTGAGGCCTCAGGATGGGGAGGGACTTCTGGGGTCACCAGAAGTGGCAGTGGTCGGGGAGGATCAGATGCCTGGTCTTCTGGGTTTCCCAAAAGGGGAGGGGCCTTATGGAACCTGCACCTCCCCCACCCCACCCTCACCTACACAGCGGGTCATTCGGAGCCGCAGCCAGTCCATGGATGCCATGGGACTAAGCAACAAGAAGCCCAACACCGTGTCCACCAGCCACAGTGGGAGCTTCACACCCAACAACCCCGACCTGGCCAAGGCGGCTGGAATAGTGAGTGCCCTCCCCAGCTCCCGCTCAGCTGTCCCTCCCCCGGGGACCCTCAGCTCTCCCCTGCCTTCTGAGGCCCGGTCCCACTTCCCTCCATTGCCCTGCTGTCCACGTGCCTGTCCTGGGCTCTGGATTCGGTCTAGCCACTGCTGTCCCTGGGGTCAAGTGCCCAGGCTGGGACCCTGGGTGCTGAGAGTCTGCAACCCCCTCCCTGGCTCCTTGGCCCTCCCTCCTCCTGGCCCCTATTCATTGGGTGTGACTTTCTGCAGGGCAGCTCTGGGGCAGCCTCTGTGTCACATTCCTTATTGAGTACCTACTCTCTGTTGTGTGCTGGGAACTGGGCTGCTGTGTGGGCACCTCTTGTCAAGCCATGGGTTTCTGGGAGCACCTATACTGTGTGTCAGGCTGTGGGCACCTACTGTGTGTCAGGACTTGGCTGCTGTGTGGACATGCACTCTGTGAGCATCAGCTGTGGGCCTGGCCCTGAGTTCCTGTGAGCACCTCCTGTGAGCACCTCCTGTGAGCACCTCCTGTGTGTCGGGTTCCGGGCTGCTGTGTGGGCATTGACTCTAAGCACCTACTGTGTACCTGGCCCTGGGCTGCTGTGTGAGAACCTACTGTGTGTCAGGAAATGGACTGCTGTATGAGCACATCCTGTGTGCTAAGCCCTGTACGTCAGTGAACACCTACTGTGTGTCAGGAAGTGAGCTGCTGTGTGGGCACTTCCTCTGTGAGCTCCTCCCGTGTGTCTGCTGCAGCCAGGGCGTCTGTGGTGTGGCTGCCTGTTGTGTGTCTTGTGTGAACCTCTCCTGAGTGAGCACCTGCCGCGTGAGGACTGACTGTCTGCCAGGTTCTGTGGGATTCTGCTGCCCACACTCGGGAGTGCTGGACGCACAGGATGAAAAAGGCCTGTGACCCTGGGCCACGCTGCTCTCTGCCGCCTAGTGGCCGTGTCAGGACACTGCACCCACTGCTCCGCTCCCGTCCATCCGTCCATCCACCCATCCATCCATCGTGTATTGGCTGTCTGCTGCATGCCGAGCCTTGCACTCAGTGCCATGAGGCTGTGTCACGTGGCAGGAGGGAACCCCCACCCCTGCCCTGTGGTCCGGCCTGGCCTCTGCTGTCCAGCAGTCAGCAAGCCCACTGTCATCAGAGGAGCAGGCCCAACCTCCCCCAACCCAGATTTACCAACCACTCCTTTCCTCCCCACCGGAGTGGCCCATCCTCCTGTGGGTGGCCACAGAGGGGCCCCGGGGACCAGGCCGGGCCAGCAGCACGTACCGCGGCAGTAACCGGAGCCATTTCTGTTCTCGTTTTTGCACACCTCTCTCTTCATGTCGCCTCCTTTTTCTTCCCTTCCCCTTCCTGGTTTTTCCTCCCTTCCTCTCTCCCTCTTCTGCTCCCTTGACCTCTCTCTGCCTTCTCACACTGTTGTGTTTCTTCTCTCCTCTGGCTCCTGCCTTTCTGCTCCCTCTCCTCCCCTTTCCTCCGTTCTCCCCTTGCTGTCCGTCTGTCCCGACCTCACCCCGGCCCGTCTTCCTGGCTCTGTCTCCATCCTTCACCCTGTGTCCCATCTCGTGTGCCCTCTCACACACGCGTGCCTGTCTCTGTGTGACTGTCTGTTTGCTAATCTCTCTCTCCTTCTCCTCTGTCCTCCGTCTCTCTGTCCCCTGTCTCCCTCCTCTGTTTCTGTCTGTCTGTCTGCCTCCTTCCCCCCGCTCCTCTCTGTGTCTCCCCTCCTGCCATCTCTCTCTGACTCTCTCTGCCTCTCTCTCCCTCTCTCTCTCTCTGCCCTCACCCTTTGCCGCTTGCCAGTCATTGCTTATTCCTGGGAAAAGTGCGAGTAGATTCGGACGCCGGGGCAGTGCCATAGGCATAGGAACCGTGGAAGAGGTTGTCGTCCGCAGGGCCGCGGCTCTGGAGGCTACCTGCACGCGCTGCTCTCTGCTGGCTCTCAGGACGGAGGCCATATTGGGGACGTTGCCCCCTGCCCCCGGGACAGGCCCCAGGGCGTGCAGGCTGGAGTGCCGGCAGCTCCAATGGCACTCAGCACCTGCTTTGGGGCCTAATATCTGTGCCAGAGCCAGTGTCCCTCACCAGGGGCTTCTGGCCCTGCCCTGGCCCCTGGCCCAGTCCCTGCCAGGATCGTGTACCCAAAGGCCCTGTGCCCAGCTGCACGTCCCCCAATATCGCCGGGTTCTGCATGGAGCGCCATCCCTCTCCTCTGCCCTGGCTCCCCCTCCCCTCCATGAATTGGCCTAGGGGGTCTTGCCCCTCAGTGCCTCCTTGGGGCCCACCTCCTGCCTCCCCTGAGAAGCTGGGGACATGCTTCTGGGCCTGGGACATCCTGCCATAGTGTGTGTATGGAAACGGGGTGGGGTGAGGTAGAGATCAGCTGCTGGGCCAGGACCTCCCCCAGCCAGTTTGGGGGTTCTGAGGAGGGGCAGGGCTGGCGTGGAGCAGGGGCATGGGCTGCCCTGTGCACCCTCTCACCACCCGCCCCTAGGCTGCCCTTAGACTGCCGGTCCTGTGAAGCCCTGAGGGTGCAGGGAAGGGGTGGCCATTCTGAGAACTTGGCCACCTCCCTCCCTAGCCCAAAGTAGCTGCCCCAACCCCTGGGCCCTGCCCTTCTCCTGGACTAAGATCCCAGGTGCAGCCCTGCTGTGTGACCTCAGCAGAGACCATTGCCCTTACTGGGCCTGTTTCCCTATCTGGAGTAAGAGGGCTGTTTCTGGAGATGGACATTTTCCCTCTTTCTTTCTTGCTCATTGCCTCTGCTTCAGGGCTGGGGCAGCAGGTCCCTGGGTGGATGGGGGGGGTACTGGGGCACCCAGGGCAGGTGGGCACTGAGTTGGGGCCTCTCCTTGCAGTCACTGATTGTCCCCGGGAAGAGCCCCACAAGGAAGAAGTCGGGCCCGTTTGGCTCCCGCCGCAGCAGCGCCATTGGCATCGAGAACATTCAGGAGGTGCAGGAGAAGCGGTAGGTGGAGTGGCTGGGAGGGACAGTGCCCTGTTCTCCCCTGGCAAAGCAAAGCAGGCGGAAAGGAGCGCCCACCCCTCTGCTCTCTGTCCCCACCAGTGACAGCTGGGTGTGCAGTCAGGTCCCTGCTGTGTGTCAGGCACCAGGTCAGCATGTCACCTGACAGGCAACAGTTTCATCCATTCAGCAGTTCTGCCAGCCCCATGGGCGTCTGCACCTTGCAGATCAAGAAGCTGTAGGTCAGAGGGGTCGGGGGCTCACCCAGGCCACCCTGCCGGTGAGGGGCAGAGCTGGGATCTGAGCCCTAGTCTGTCCAGACCAGCACACAATTCCTTCCACAGCCCCAGCGTGTGCGGGAGAGTCCAGCGCTGGTTTCCAGGCAGGCTTCAGGGTGGGCCTGGGAGTCTTCGAGTGCCCGTTTGTGGGCAGCAGGGCTGCCCCTGGAGAGCAGAGGATGGTTCCTGGGTGTGAATCCTGTTTCCACCATACTGGGGCTGTGTGACCTTGGGCAAGTCACTGTACTTCTCTGAGCCTCACTATCTCAGTCTGAAAAAAAGGGATAAGAACACAGCCAATGGTGTGGGGCTGCTGTGAAGGTTCTGTGTGATGCACCTGAAGCTGGGGTCAGGTGCCCTGAGGATGCTCCAAGAGTGGAGCTGGCGCCATCCTTGCTGCCACTAGAGGTAGAATGCTGTGAATGCTGGGATCGAGTCTTGCTGTTGCCTATTCTAACTGCCTGTCCTGCGCAGATTCCTTCCCATCTCCGAATCCCAGTTTCCTTATCCAGAATGGGGGACAGTTATACCTCCTTTTGTGGGGAGGGCTTGAGACGTGTCCTGCTCCTGTCACATATAGCTTCATCGGTGCCTGCCCCATCATTGGCCAGGCCAGCCAGGGAGCCCACAGGGACTGCTCTGGGGTTGGCTTCTGGGGTACAAGCTGTGGGTGCAAGGCAGAAGGTGCCCATGGCCTCCCCTCACCGCCTGGGCCTCCTTCTACCCCTGATGTCAGGCCTGGTGCTGAATCCCCCTGCTGCCCCCGTGTGCCCCGCAGGGAGAGCCCTCCAGCTGGCCAGAAGACCCCAGACAGCGGGCACGCCTCCCAGGAGCCCAAGTCAGAGAACTCATCCACTCAGAGCTCCCCAGAGATGCCCACGACCAAGAACAGGTTGGGGCTCGGGCATGTGGGCTGTGGGCCTGGGGATGGTAGATCATCTTTTCCATTCCCGCCTGGGCCCGGGGCTGCCCAGAGCCTTGACACCGGCTCCTCAGTGTGTCAGGGATCCTGGGGCATCCAGGAGTGCCTTGTGCATACCAGGCCCGTGCCAAGCTCTGGAACACAGCGGTGACTTGTGCATACACAGTGCCCACCTCATGGAGCTGCCCACCCAGTGTGACATAACCTAATAAGCCATTTCTAGATAGTGGTGGTGGGAGGAACACAGAGCAGGGGTGGAGGTGTGGTGCAGAATGACGGGGGCAGTGGTGTTTTGGATGAGGGTCCTCAAGGAGGACAGCTCCCGGGGTGACATCTGAATTGGGAGCTGAACGAGGAGCCAGCCCTGCTAAGACTGGCGTGGCAGAGAAGATGGTCCAGGCAGGAGCAGAGCGAGTGCAGAGGCCGCGGGGCAGGCTTTTGGGATAGAAAGCAGGGAGCTGTCGGAGCCGGGCCGGGCCAGCAGGCGTGTCGAGGGTGGTGCCGGGGCTGAGGTGGAAGGGGTGGGCAGGGGCGAGCGCATGGCTTTGGAGGCTGGAGGAGAGCTTCGAATGTTATCCTAAGTGCATCCAGGAGCCTTCAGGGGATTTTTTTTTTTTTTTTTTTTTTTTTTTTTTTTTTT